CAATAATAATAATAATAATAATAATAATGATAATAGTAATAATTTATTTTTTCTGCCTTTTTCTCCTTAAGTTGCTGCCAAGATGACTACGTTGACCCGGCAAGACCTCAACTTTGGCCAAGGTACCCAACTGATCGCATTATAATATAGAATAATAATGATAGTTATTAATAATATTATTAATATTATTATTAATAATATTTATTATTATTATTTATTTTATTTTATATGTTTTATATTATCTTTATAATTATTATTTATTATTATGATCCCATTATAATATAGAATAATAATAATAATTGTTATTAATATTATTAATAACATTTATTATTATTTTATATTTTATTTTAAATAATATTTATTATTATTATTTATTTTATTTTATCTATTTTATATTATCTTATATTTTATAATTATTATTAATATTATTAATAATATTATTATTATGATCCCATTATAATATAGAATAATAATAGTTATTAATAATATTATTAATAATATTTATTATTGTTTATTTTATTTTATATTTTATATATTATTATTATTAATAACATTTATTATTATTTATTTTATTTTATATGTTTTATATTATCTTATATTTTATAATTATTATTAATATTATTAATATTATTATGATCCCATTATAATATAGAATAATAATAATAATTGATTATTATTATATTAATAATATAATATTATTATTTTTATCTTGTTTGCTGTGTACTAATCTTGTTGTGTATATAATAATAATAATAATAATAATAATAATAATAATAATAATAATAAATCACACAGTCCTAGACGCTTGGGAAATGTTCGACTTGTGATTTAGAAATCCAGCATGTCTCGTTTGCTGTGACATGCTGTGCTTTTGTGTCAGTAAAATAATAATATTTGTATTTATTATCATTTGCCACATTTTAATATGATATCTTTTAATATAGTGGAATAGAGGAATATGCCGTATTTTAAAATATTTATAATAATAATAATAAACCTATAATAATAAATATAATAACAAAAATAAAACACTAATAATAAATATGATAAATGTAATAATCATAATATTATTATTATTCATTATAATATATCATTAATAATAATAAAAGGGACAATGATACAACAAAATTAATAAAATAATAATTATAAGAATAAATGTAAAATATTATAAACATAATGTAATAAACATAATAAAATTATTTTTATTAAATGTAATAATACAATTCAAATATTATACAATAAATAACAATAAACACAATAAAATAATAATACAATAAAAATAATAAAATGATTTTAATAATAAACATAATAATAATAATAATTTCAGTAATAACATAATAGTAATAATACTTTTATTTTCCAGTGGTGGCCGATGTCCTTTCGGAGTTCCTGGAAGTGGCCATCCATCTCATCCTTTATGTCCGGGAGGTTTATCCAACAGGAATCTTCCAGAAAAGGAAGAAATACAACGTACCCGTGCAGGTGAGGGCTTCCGCACTGTCGAATTAACCCAGCTTGACACTGCGTTCAAGGGCAGCCCCGTGGAGAGAGCGTTGCGGTAGTCTATCCAGTCTCCCTAAAATGAGATTGTTTCCCCCTTTTGGACAGATGTCTTGCCATCCCGAACTGAACCAGTACATCCAAGACACGCTCCATTGCGTCAAGCCCTTGCTGGAAAAGGTGAGACCTGTGTCGTTATTGTTATGCTGTTGTAGTGTTAATATATTGCACTATTTGCTGTTGTTGTTGTTGTTGTGCTAGTATATTTGTATTGTTTTGGATTTGAGAACGACGTGGCAAAAGTGGTCCCTACTTATCGATAATCTCTATCAAATCAAGTCTAAACAATCAATTCAAGCAATCATCTATCCATTATCTATCTACCCTCCTAAACCATTCATCCATCTGTATCTGTCTGTCTGTCTGTTGATCCAACTATCCATCCATGTGTCCATGTATCTACCTATGTATCTGTCTGTCTGTCCATGAATCTACCTACCTACCTACCCATCCATCCATGTATCTCTCTCCATCCATCCATTCCAGTTGTTCATGTATCTGTCTAAACATCCATCCATGTATCTCTCTCTTTCTCTCTCTATCCATGTTTCTATCCATCCATCTATCTATGTATCTGTCTGTCTGTCCATGAACCTACCTACCTACCTACCTATCTGTCCATCCATCCGTCTATCATCTATCTGTTCATGTATCTATCTGTATCCATCCACCCATCTAGCTGTTCATGTATCTATCTGTCTATACATCTATCCATCCCTAAATCTGTCTTGTCTATCCGTCCGTCCGTCTGTCCATCCATCCATCCATCCAATTTCTATCCATCCAGTCCATCTATCTATCTTTGAATCTGTCTATCTATCTATCCATCTACCTGTTCATCCATCCGTCCATCTAAGTAAGTAAGTATGTATGTATGTATGTATGTATGTTTCTATCTATCTATCTATCCATCCATCCGTCCATCTATCTATCAACTATCGGTCCATGTATCTATCTGTATTCATCCATCTATTTAGCTGTTCATGTATCTATCTGTCTATACATCTATCCATCCCTAAATCTATCTATCTGTCTTGTCTATCCGTCCGTCCGTCCATCCATCCATCCATCCATCCAATTTCTATCCATCCAGTCCATCTATCTATCTTTGAATCTGTCTATCTATCTATCCATCTACCTGTTCATCCATCCGTCCATGTAAGTAAGTATGTATGTATGTATGTATGTATGTATCTATCTATCTATCTATCCATCCATCCGTCCATCTATCTATCAACTATCGGTCCATGTATCTATCTGTATTCATCCATCCATCTAGCTGTTCACGTATCTATCTGTCTATACATCTATCCACCCCTAAATCCATCCGTCCGTCCGTCCATCCGTCCGTCCGTCTATCTATTGATGTTTCTATCCATCCAGTCCATGTATCTATCTATGAATCTATCTATCCATCTACCCGTTCATCCATCCGTCTGTCCATGTAAGTATGTATCTCTCTATCCATATATGTATGTATGTATGTATGTATGTATGTTTCTATCTATCAATTCATCCATCTGTCTATCCATGTATCTGTCTATCCATCCGTCCATGTATTTATCTATGTATCTGTCTGTTCATGAATTTATCTCCCTCCCTCCCTCCCTTTCCATCTATCTGTCTGTCTGTCTGTCCGTCTATCCATCCTTCCATCCATCCAGTCCATGTATGTTTGTCTATCTATCCATCCACCCCTTAATCCATTCGTCTGTCCATGTAGGTATGTATCTCTGTATCTCTCTATCTATCTATCCATCAATTTATCTATCTGTCTGTCCATGTATCTATTCATTGATCCATCAGTCTATATATGTATGTATGTATCAACCCATGTATCTATCTGTCTGTGTATCCATCCATCTATCCATCAATCCATCCATATAGTTGTCTGTCTGTCCATGTAATCTATCTCTCTATTTATTTATTCATCCATCCATCTATGTATGTATGCATCCATGTATCTGTCTGTCAATGTAGTCTATCTATCTATCTATCTATCTATCTATCTATCTATCTATCTATCTATCTATTCATTCATCCATCTGTCCATGTATCTGTCTATCCATCTATATATCGATCCATCAGTCTATGTGTGTATGTACCCATGTATCTGTCTGTCTGTGTATCCATCCATCCATCCATGTAGTTGTCAGTCTGTTTGTCCATGTAATCTATCTATCTATTCATCCATCCAATCATGTATCTATATGTATGTATGCATCTATGTATCTGTCTGTCCATGTAGTCTGTCTATCTATCTATCTATCTATCTATCTATCTATCTATCTATCTATCTATTCATCCATCTGTCCATGAATCTGTATATCCATCTATATATCTATCCATCGATCCATCAGTCGATGTATGTATGTATCTACCCATGTATCTATCAATCTGTGTATCCATCCATCCATCCATCCATCCATCCATCCATCCATCCATCCATCCATGTAGTTGTCTGTCTGTTTGTCCATGTAATCTATTCATCCATCCAATCATGTATCTATGTATGCATGCATCTATGTAATTGTCTGTCCATTTACCCTATCTATCTCCATCCATCCATCCATGTTTGTCCATGTACTCTTATCTATCTATCTGTCTATCTATCTATAACTATTCATGTATCCATCCATCCATGTACCGATCAAATTGCCCATGTATCTATTCATCTATCCATCCATGTATGTACCTATCAGTCTGTCCATCTATCTGTCTGTGTCTCTATCCATGTATCTATGTGTGTATGTATGTATCCATCTACGTATCTAATCTAATCTTTCTTTCTTTCTCTCTGTCTCCTCATCCATGTATCTACCTACCTACCTGTATTAAATTAATGAAATAAAATAAACAAGTATTTTTATTTGTTTTTTTATATTTCAGAACGATGTGGAAAAAGTGGTGGTGGTCATTCTGGACAAAGAGCATCACCCGGTGGAGAGGTTCGTCTTTGAGATCACGCAGCCGCCTTTGCTGTCCATCAGGTGAGTGAATATTACATTGCATGAACATTGGAATATAACAGAAGGGTGCCTCTGAGCATGGGCAGAGCGCCCTTCGGGGAACGGGAATGGGCTCTGAAACGGATTTGTGCCGCAGTTCGGACTCGCTTCTGAGCCACGTGGAGCAGCTCCTGCGGGCCTTCGTCCTGAAGATCAGCCTCTGCGACGCCGTACTGGACAACAACCCTCCAGGTAGGACATGGTGATGATGATGATGATAGTACAGCCATGGGCAAACTTGGGCCCTCCAGGTGTTTTGGACTGCAAGTCCCTATTGTGTAATATTGGTGGAAAATACAGTTCTAATGGACATGTGGTCACACACCTGCTGAAGTGGGCATGGGCAAACTTGGGACCTTCAGGTGTTTTGGATTGCAAGTCCCTATTGTGTAATATTGGTGGAAAATACAGTTCTAATGGACATGTGGTCAC